GTTCGTAGGTGTTCAGATTGGTTTGATCCCTATCCAGCTGAATTCCTGAGAGGAGACGAAATCCAGGTCTCCTACTCCTCCACCATCTTGCTCCGTCCCCAGCCATTCTGTTTTTTTAAAAAGCAATAATATTCTGCTTCATTAAATTTACTATGTAATATTTTAAGGCTTTCCCTATACTATTAAATAAGATGTAAATAAGAAATTCCCAAATGTCATTAGATAGTTACATCCCAAATTTACACCTATTTCTCTTCTTTGAATTACCAATTAAACTGATCTTTCATACCCCAAACCACAGAAAGATAAAAAATGAAATATGGATATTATTAATCAATTTTATCATAAATGATGTTTTCATATGTTGATATCTTTGTTAACTTTTGGGGATTGTAATAGCCATCAAATTATATTTACATGTGAGCAAGCAGAATGATGTTAACATGGAACATGTAAATATCTAAATATTGGCTTTTATGACAATCTAACATTGACGCTTCAAAGAGACACAGCCTTTGGAGAAGAATGGCCAAATATACTGATACCATTTCTTTGGGGATTTACTCTATGGTATTTTTGTGGGTTTCTCTTTAGTCATTGGAAAGACAGGAATATAATATGGAATAAAGGTTTCATAATTAGATTTTGTATTCACACAATTTTATATTTAATTGAAGTATAGTTAACATGCAATATTATATCTGTTTCAGGTGTACAGTATAGTGGTAGAGAATGAAGCACATTACAAAATGCTCACCAAGAGTATAGTTACCCCCTGTTGCCGTACAGAATTATTATAATATTATTGACTGTATTTCCTACACTGTACTTCTCATCCCCTGACATACTTATTTTACAATTGGAAGTTTGTACTTCTTCATCTCCTTCAACTATTTTTACCTATTTAACCACATTTCATTCAAAGAATCAAATCTCATCTTGAATGTTTACTAAACAGTGTTCATAATCACTCCCTAAAGCAAAGAAGTCAGTCAACTCCTTCATTTAATAGAGTAAAAACCAGAGTTCCTGGGAACAGTCTGTGAGTATTTTGCATTTATGGTCTGTATTGATCACTGTGCTAGGTATTGCTGAGCATCCGAGTACTTATTGAATGCTTGATCCTAATCTGCATGAAACCGAGATCTAGTTGAGCAGTAGATGAAGAACATAGAATTACAAGATACAGAGAACTTACAAAGTCACTTGGTTCTGGGAATTCAGACAAGGAAGAAATCAATTTGGACTACTGGAAATTGTTGAATAAGCTTTATAGACAGGGGAAGTCTGAGTTTCACAAACATTTATTTTATTTTATTTTTTTATTTTTTTAAAGATTTTATTTATTTATTTGACAGAGAGAGACACAGTGAGAGAGGGAACACAAGCAGGGGGTAGTGGGAGAGGGAGAAGCAGGCTTCCCACTGAGCAGGGAGCCTGATGTGGGACTCAATCCCAGGGCCCTGGGATCATGACCTGAGCCAAAGGCAGACGCTTAACGACTGAGCCACCCAGGCGCCCCACAAACATTTATTCAATGTGGCAGTTCATGGCAATGTAGAAGTAGATAGGATCCAGCTCTGACCACTAAAAACTTAGAAAGTCACAAAGCAATGCCTTCAATATAATCTTGTGCCTCTAACAACAGGGGAATGCAAAGCGGCACTTTGTTTGCAGTGTTAGCCATGGACAGTTGGCCATGATGCCTGGATTGAGCTCTGAAGAATGAGTAAAAGTTAACCAGCTAAAGAAAATGGGCAGAGGCTCCAGGCAGAGGGAGCAGCAAGAATAAAGTCACAGAGGTGTGAGGTGACAATCAGTCTGTAGAGAACATAAATTATTTACTATGGAATAAACGTAGGCAAAGGGTGGGGCCAGGTCTAAATCTTTCATGCTGATAGGTAGTCATGGGCAGCGGGTCAGTGAGGAACTAGGGTTGAGCTGGACCTGTATCTGGGTCAGGGCTGGGGGACCAAGCTTTTGGAGGATGACAGGGGACTCTTGGTGTGCTAGCCTCTCCTTCACCCAGTCACACACCACACTCACATCCATCTAAGATTCTATGTATCTCAGGTTCTCGGTTGAGAGAAAACTAGACTAAAAGTCTTGCTGGGATATATAGGGAAGACCACACAGAGGACAACCCAGGAGCAATTTCTCCAGGTGGTATAAATGCAAATGCAGAGAGAGCAAAGAGCACTGCCTGAGTTTAGGCCTCCCCAGGGATGAGGACATGGCTGAACCCACGTCAGAGCCTGATGCTGTCACCTGTACTTGAGAATGAGCAGCTTGAGCTAAGACTGTGACACAAGAAAATCATCTAATTTCAATAATGTCTACGCTCAGGAATTCCGGTTTGATTGTTTAAACCTGGGTTTAGGGTTGTATAAACTTTGTTTCCATGTTCTTGGGATATGCGTAAATTAAAATCTGGTACTGAAACACTCAAGGTCCCAATGTACCTTCCTTTGGCTCCATCTACGGATGCTGCAGAGCAGAGCTTCCTACTTGGTGTCCTGTGGCACTAGCGTACCAGATGGTACGCTAGGATGGGCCAAAAGGTGTGTTGTGAAATGTGGATGCTCCTAGTCGACCATCTGTGGCCTGTGTTATTGCAAAGACCTCCTAACTGTCCTCTCTGTTGTGATCCTTGCCCCTTTGTGACAGTTAATTTTGTGTCAACTTGACTGGCCTAAGGGATGCCCAGATAGCATCCTGGGAAGAGACTGGCATCTGATTCAGTGGCCTGAGTGAGAAGATCTGCACACACAAATGTGGCGGGCATCACCTAATCCACTGGGGGCCCGAATGGAACAAAAGGTGAAGGAAGGGTGAATTCCCTCTCTTTTCATGAGCTGAAACATCCATCTTCTCCTGCCCTTGGACATCAGAGCTCCTGATTCTTAGGCTTTGACCTTAGACCTCAGTTACAGCATCAACTCCCCTGGTTCTTAGGCCTTGGGACTTAGAGAATGACACTGCTGGCTCTCCTGGTTCTCCAGCTTGCAGACGGCAGACTGCGGGACTGCCAGGCCTCCAAAATTGTGTGAGCCAACTCCCATAATAAATTTCCTCTTATATCTCTCTATATATCTTCTCGGTTCTGTTTCTCTGGAAAACCCTAATACATAGTCTATCTTCAACACAGAAGAGAAAGTCATCCTTTAAAACATATGTTTTATCTCTCCTCTCCTGTCAAACCTGCCTTAGCTTCTCAATCTCGCTTAGAGAAAGTCCTCAAAGTGGCCAGTAGAGCTCTCCATCATCGGACCTCTGTTATTTCTCTGGTTTCATATCACACTATTGCCTGCCATGGTTATGTTGTCCAATCTACACTGGCCACCATCTTGTTTCTTAAACAAGCTGGATTCATTCTTGTCTCTACTTTGTATATGCTTCTGACTTCTGCTTTGAATGCCCTTCTCCCACAAAGCCACCCGACTCATTCCTTCATCCTTTCCAGGTCTTTGTTCAAATATCATCTTCTTGGTGAGGTCTTCCCTGACCACCCTATTCAAAATTGGCCAGCACTACCATTGCTACACAACCCTCTTTTTACTTTATTTTGTTTATTGTTTGTCTCCCCTGACCAGGATGTAAACTCCATGAGGGCAGGAATTTTTTACTGTTACTCACTGCTGAATCACTACTACCTAGAGAACTTGACAAAGAATAAAAGATCTATAACATTTTTTGTATGAATGAATAAGTAAATAAATTTTGATATAATTGAATAAAAAGCTCAACTGGATTTAAAATCCATTATCACGGGGCGCCTGGGTGGCTCAGTCGTTAAGCATCTGCCTTCGGCTCAGGTCATGATCCCAGGGTCCTGGGATCGAGCCCCGCATCGGGCTCCCTGCTCAGTGGGAAGCCTGCTTTTCCCTCTCCCACTCCCCCTGCTTGTGTTCCCTCTCTTGCTGTGTCTCTGTCAAATAAATAAATAAATAAAATCTTTAAAAAATAAATAAATAAAATCCATTATCACAAGAATTTAAAAATTATATTTGTCAATGTGAGCACTGTTGTGGTATTTAAATATAATATCAATGCCTTATAAATTTAGAATGATTATTAAATCAATGGCTTATACATTTTTATTACCTAGTTGTTTAAAAAAATTTCTCATCAATGGATGGAGACTATCAGAATTTGATAAATCATCATAAAAATTTCTTGTTCAGGAATAATATGGAAACATTTCAAGCATTAAAAACAGATACTAAAAATATATACTCATAGAAAGACCATGTAGAATTTATCATGAACACTGAAAATACTTTTAAAATATTATTTAAAAATCAAAATTATTATCCTAATATGCTATCTTTACATTTTATCATAATTATATAAAGAAAAATTAATACTTTTTTCCCAAAGTCCAACATACATCTCCAAGTCCTTCCATTTTACCCCATTTGCCATGCAAAATTATGACCTACTATGTATGCTATTAAGTAAATAGGATTGGAAAGCACTGATCTAGAGGGCTCACCATCAACCAATGTTCTAAAGTGTGAATGGAGGCTTGAGGGATGGGGACCCAATGTTTCTACACTCTAGGCTATGGGAGAGTTGGGAAGTCTCTAGTGTTGATGCTGAAAAGGTGGGTGGGTTCTCAGCATGAGTTGCCTTGACGGCCACAGTGAAGAGTTTGGCCTTTATTTTATGGGCATAGAGCAAGTTGCGGCAAATGCTGTTCATAAAATATTAGACCACATCTATGGCATTTCAAAGGCCAAATGATGTATCAACATATTCACAGTGGTCATGATTTTCAGAGTATGATTTTTTACTCCTTGGCCTCACCCTTTCAGATGTAAGCCCTAATCCACTCTCTGCCCCTATTCTATACTGCTTCACCTCCCACATGAAAATCAACTTGACAGAGATAGTTGTATCCACATGTGTCAAGTAGGCCTTGATCAGAGCCTGTTTTCATTTGGAGGGCCAGGTATACAGAAAGGTAAAGTTACTTGTTCTTCTTGATTAGAGGGTGGGAGTGTTTGGGGAAGAAGATGCTCACATAAAAACTCTGCTGTGATTATCAAAGTTCCCAATATTTTGTTTCAGAAAAGAAGAGGCCTTTCAAGTGGAGTTCATGCCTTCATGGTCAGGACATGGTGAAGGAAAGGAGGCAAAAAGAACAGTGGTCTAAATCTCAGCAGCACTGAAGACATTCCGTAATTCCCAACACTTACGGGGGACTTATCAGCTGTGGGTGCAGGGAGTCTGCAAGCATCACCCTACCGAGGAAAACATTAGATTTCAGGTACTATAGAGGGTGATCAGAAGTGTTGTCCCATCCAAAAGACTTGAAAAGTTTCCAGGAAAGAGTAGGAGCTGGTGATGTGTAGGCTGAACGCTCCTGATGAAGGACAACATGCCTCATAGGAGAGCTGGGTGGTCATATGATCAAGCTGACTGATTAAAAGCTGGCCAACAGTGCCCCTGAAACATGTAGGGTGGTCTCAGCGCATATATGAACTCTAAGTCAAAACATCAATTTAGAGTAGATAGAGCATGCACTGATCTTGAAAATGGACCTGAAGATTTAGGTCCTAGCTCATATGGAAAGATCTGGAAGGAGGGTGATGACTCCCTGGGTCCCACCAGGTGTAGAGCTAGTTGGATTCTTCCCCCCGGTGCCCCAGTGCCCTTGCTTCAGCTCAGGCGGGCCTTTATTTCTGTCCAGGAATCAGGATCAGATCTCATCCAACTTCTGCATTCATTTCAGTGGTTTACTAAACATATATATGTTGGGCATTGTATTAGCTGCTGGGAATACAAAACATGACGTAGCTTGTGTCCTCTCAGAAACTGACCATCTGCTGGGATTCTAGGCTGCTGACAGGAGGTGGACCCCGCTTGGCCACCTTAATTTGGGTGAGCTTGCCAAGATGTGGATCTGAGGCTTCCCATAAGCACAGCCATGGCTACTGTTGATAGTCCAGGCCGAGGGCCGTAGTCTTAAATTGAACCCTGGTGATTAGAACCATGAGGTTTACTGATAAGTAGATTCTTTCCATTCATACTCTTCAAGATGTCATCAGAGTTGAGCCACACTTCTTGAGTAGTATTCCAGAGCTAAGTGTTTAAATATAGCCCAACCGCTGAGGCTACTGAAAATATTCACCTTAAAGTCACCATGAGGTACTCGAAAGTCTGAGCTCTGTGAAAGGCCAGGCTCAGATCAGAAGTTGGGTAGCATGCTCACATCTAGTCAGGAGGCCGCTAGCTCAGTGTTCCAAGATGCCCTGTGCCATTTGGCTGCTCCCTATGCGAGGACAACTCCTCTGAAACTAAACTAGGTAGCATTCCCCAAAATAAATGCAAGTCTCCTGACAAAACTGTTGAAAGCAGAGAAAATGATCCCCAAAATATAGCAATGTCTTGCAACATTGCTGCAAATACGCTGGAAAGTGAAATACAAATCTGGAGACATTTAAATTTAGAATGCATGTGGTATTTGCATGGGCTCAACCTGCATCAGAGAGAAGACGTGCTAAGGAGACTCTAAAATCTAGTACTAGTATTTTCTCTTCTCTGACTTAGGAAAAGGAATTACACCATTATTTGGATTACTTTACATAGGCAAAGTTATATATTCTTAAAATATAATAGTATGCTAAGTGTGTGCATTTACGATATAGTTTGGAAATGCACACAGACCTCTGCATAAAAAGGACTCAAAGTTATAAATATACAACTATCTAGCTGTGTGCAAAATGAAGACATTGATAGAAAGACAACTAATTAATTTTAGTAGACAAAAAAATGTAAATGCGTGAGTGGTCTCATCAGCCTTGATCTCATTTCTAGCACCAGCTGGAAATCCTGTTTTATGTTTGCTGTTCCCCTCTTCCTTCCACCGCACCCAGGAGTGTAGGTGGGGTGGGGGTGGGGTTTACATCTCTTAGAGACGGTGCAGAAAAACTGTTTCCACTTTAAATTAATTAATATGCTACATCAATCCAGTGCTCATATATTTTGCTCATACATTCTTACCTCGGGCAAATTACCCCCAGACATGCCCAGAGACAACCTAAGCTCTGCTTTAGTCTTGTTTCAGACATATGCAGCACATCAGGTAGCCTTACCACCACCTCCCTCCCTGCCTCACCCAAGACCTACAAGTTACCTTTATTTGTAAAACATCTGAAATCCAGAACATGTATGTTCCAGAAAAACAAAACTGCACAAAAGTTCTTGAGCACCTAGGTAAGCCCACGGAAGCTTTCAGATAATTGTTGTGGAATCAAGTGTTAACAGTGACATTAAGACCTAACCATCCTGCAGGACAACATTTCTGTGAAAAAATTCTGTTGAGAGATGCCAGGAGCAGGAGCATACTGTGCCTCAGTAATGGGAGCGGAGAGCGCCCCCCGCCCCGCACCGCCCCTGGTGCCAGACCAGCTGGCCGCTGGGAGTGGAAATCCCTTGTAGGGGGAGACCAGAAGGCCAGGGCCATGAGTTGGGAAAAAGTGCCTCTTACCTTCAAAGAGTTTCAGTTTGCCTCTGGGCTCAGCGAAAAGGAGTCCTACAATAAATGAGCAGTGTCTACTAGGGATTGGGGAAAAGGAGGCAGCACAGATCTGCTATCCTTGGGCAAACACATAATCCAAAAGTCTGAGTGTCATAGCCAGAAACGAGTAATTGTGTACAATCGGTCAGATGCTATTGGAATCGCTTTACATTTTACTAGTTCTCATGGCCCCTATGAAATTGCCATTTCTGTCAGAGCTGGTCAAATATAGACATTTTGACATGGTTCCAACTGCCACTTTACAGATTCTCCCATTTTCCAGATTTGAAAGACATGTTAAAAACTTGCCCGATGTCACAAAGCTGCTAAGTAGCTACACAGGTCAAGTGTTCTTGCAAGGACAAATGGTACACTCAAAAGGGGATGACTGAAGAAATTTAATGGAAGATGTTTACAATCAGCGTTAAGGGAAATCAAGAAGGATGGGGAACCTCCTGGAAAAGCCACCCTAGAGAGTGGTGCTGGGCCCTGGGACACAGCTGGAGCTGTAAGCAAAGGGTTGAGCTGAGCAAAATATCAAAGGGGGGTGTGTGTGTGTGTGTGTGTGCACATGCGCATGTGTAGGGGGAGGGCTGTAAGTCACCACTATTCATGCATGGCCTTATAAATGTGTTAGCATTTTTCTTTTTTCATATCTAAAAGGGCTGGAGTCAGGTGTTTATTCTTCTAAATATATAGTCCCTGTCAAAAAATTCCGTAGGAGTCATTCTGGGCATAGCAGGGGCATTTCACGGACCACTGCAACTGAATGACAGCTAGATATTAGTCATTAGTTCTTAAATAACATCCATTTATTGTCAAGCCTTAATTAATAGGTATCCAACTGGCCAGGACACTCTAGACTTCTGTGTCCCCTTCATCTTCTGCTCCCTGCCAGCTCACATTTTGGAGGAAGGGTGGGGGCTGACAACCAAACACACTAATATTAGAGCTTTAAAAAAGCCATCTATACCAGAGGAGCGAGTCCTTGGTAGATGCCTGGACGCAGCCAGTCAAGCCCAACTCCTCTCTCAAGCCCCTGTCTTCGCTGCTGTTCCCACCTGCAGTTTTCACGCGCTCTGACTCTGACCGCATCACAGCCTCCATGGTTCCTGCCAGGGAAGTCCAGGCCCAGGTTAACTCCTGGCTATGCTGGTGGCTCCCTCCTCTTCCCAGCGGCCCTTGGATCCCCAGGTGCCCCCTTCCTCCACCGACTCCCATCTGTTGACACTGAAATGTGGGAAACTTGTCCTTTCTCAGAAATGACTAGAAGGAACATGAGAAATGATTCCTACAGAAGGAAGTCAGGTTGTGTGAGGATGTCTTCAATCTTAAAGAGAATTCCTTCTATTTTAAAATCTAAGAACAACCCCGGGCAACCTTCTCGGGTCCCCTCCCTCCTCGGGAGCTTTGTACTATCACTTTACTATGGCTCAATAAACCTTGCTTTGCTGCCTACCACTCTGTCTGGTCTGCCTCTTCATTCTTCGAAGCGGCGTGACCAAGAACTGCGGGCATCGACAGGGAAAAAAATCCTGTAATATTTATGGGGGCTCATCTGGGATCTCCACCATCGTTAAGGACAACTAACTATGAACAGTGGGCAGCAAGTCTCTCTCCCCATTTTGTTTGTTGAAACAACGAGCACCCGTCAGTCATGTAAGAGCGAGTAGCATGGCTGCCATTCTCAAGTCAAGTCTCGGGTGACAGGTTCTCTGGGCTCCTTTCCGACTGATTCCTCAACAAAAGTTGGGAATGTCAGTTTGGTAAGAACTCAGAACTCCTTTCAGGGCAGATCACTGGATGTGAGGGGACCTAGGGAAAATCGAGCAGCAACTGAAGGGCCTAAGGCTACCTTTGGACACCCGAAGGCTCTTGGTGGGACCTGGTTCCTTACTTGCCCATCTGGGCATCCAGAGAGAAACCCCTCTACTACTCTTTTCTTGGCTGATTCCTCCCCTGGGAGAATGAGTGGGAAAGCCCAGGACGGTCCCCCAGACATTCTCTTGGGAGCGGTTTGGGTGGCCTCCAAGGGATCTCACTCATAGTTCCCTGTTACGGTGAGGAACAGTCCCCTGTTTCTGACTCCTCCTATCCTGGGCATTGCTAGGACATCCCTCAGATTGGCTACACCACTTATGTGAAGAAATGGCCAAGCAGGGCAAAAGAACTAAGATCTAAGGGATCTCCCAACTTTTTGGTTCCATCAGGGCTTATCCCAAGTGGATTTCCCTTCCCTGGGTGCCCCATCTTGTCCCTCCATGTGGCTATGCCAGACAGAACAACTCTACTAAAAGAAGTCTAGTATATCCATTAACTTCTAAGGGTGTCTTAAGAGTGGGGAAACCAGGGTCACTCTCTGGAGGAAGGGCCAAGCCTGGGTAAGCTTGACCACTCCCAGCACCTCACAGAGAGGACAGGGGCGCTGGCTGTCAGTCACGTGGGTAGCTAGGGTCACATGTCAGGAAAAGATGAGGAGGAACTGAGATGGGGGATGACTTTTCCTCTCTTCCCAAGTCTCCCCGATCAACTATAAGAAATTGAGGTAAGGGACGCCTTTTTCTCTCTTCTTGTAGATGGGTAATTCCCTGACCAAGACCCTACTCCTTTAGAGTCCCTTCCTGGCATTATAGTCTACAGGAAGAGCATCAGACCCGTAAATTGCTCAATATCATTTACTCGGATGCCTTCCTGGTTTTAACTGGACGAAGGCAACTCATTTTCTTTTGTTCTGGGGCACGGCCACAATACAAGATGGAGGATGAGACATGGCCACCAAAGGGAAAATGGTGGTTAGATGTAGGTCTGTGCTTTTGGCTGCATAAAACAAACATGGCGTCTGCTCCTCTGTGTGAGCTCACGAGGTTTAGAACAGGGAGCACTCCTTCTCTGCCTTCTGGCAGCACCTTGCTGTGCCCCCTCCTGTTTCTGCACCACCTTGGGTGTGGCCTAAGTAACTGAAGGGACGCCTTCTTCTCTCTTCTTGTAGATGGGCAGTTCCTGGCCAAAACCTGCGCTCCTTTAGAACCTGCAAACTTGGAAGAAAAGGCGGCTCCGTTTTCTTTTGTTCTGAGGCATGGCCACAATGCAAATGGGAGGGTGAGACATGGCCACCTGAGGGAAGTATCAGCTATAATACTATTTTACAATTGGACTCATTTTGTAAGCGTGAGGAGAAATGGGGAGAAGTACCCTATGAACAATGCTTCTGGGCCTTAAGGGAAAACAAAGATTTATGTCAGCAATGTAGGATAGACCCCAGCCTCCTGGGCTGTT